AAAATTGAGAAAAATATCATATACATTCAAACTGAGGATTTCAAAGTCAATTACAACGAAATCTTAAATCGGCAGCTGCCCACAAGCGGAAAACACAGCTGCCGAACCTAGTACAAAGACTTAAAGTAAACAAAATTAAGTTTGTACAATTCATGGCAAGCTAAAGCAAAAGAAAGGCAAAAAGCAGATGCGGCGATAATATTACTTAAGCACATGTTGATCCGCAAGATTCTGCAGACGACTGCCTGAGTTCCTATGCTTCGGCTTTGGCTAGATCAGCACTAGGAGCCTTGGAGGTCTCGGCACCAGAAGAGGATGAGGCAGGCTGAGTAGCATCTTTTTCCTTTATTGCAGCCTCTTCCTCTTCTCGCGCTTCTGCCTCGGCCATCCGAGCAAGAAAAGCAAATTCAGCTAGGTGAGCATTGAGCAGATTCGGATGGTCAGGATCCATTTACCATTCTACGGCCACATCCTAGTTGATGCTCGGATCAGCATGGAAAGCGAGGCGTCGGGCTACGCACTTTGAAGCCATTATCGAAACCCTCATCATACTGATCTTGGGTGTAGATTCTGACTTGTAGAAACGTTTGGGTAGCCTCGAGATCAGCCTTGGCCTTAGCAGCTTCATTAGTTTGGACTTCAAGATGGTTCTGGATTCCCTTTAGCTCAGTTTTGGCATTAGAGAGCTCTGAATCCTTGGCTTCCAGTTGATCGCCTAGTCGCTGAATCTCAGCCTCAAGCTCGGATTGCTTCTTCTTCGCTTCAGCCTCAGCTTGGGCAGCCTTCACATTGAACTCGTCCGCCCTCATCGGCCGAACTTCAGCTTCCTGCTTCATTTTTTGCTCAATCCGAGCCTTGAAGCTAGGAATATCAGTAGCCCTATACTCATGGATCAAGGCTTTACCTTCGTCAATCCAGGGAAATATGGACAACTCGATTTCCCGACAGAAGTTGTGGAAGTTGTCCACCATTTCGCCCATTTGAGTCTGGCTCGCAGCAGATTCTTCTTCAGCCTTTTGGCTCTTGAGTTCTGCAAGCCGAGCTTGGCACTCTGCTTCTTCAGCCTTACTCTTCAACTCCTCGTTCATTCCCACAGCCATGACGTGGTTATGAACGACCTACAAGTTTCAAGAGTGAGTTAGCTGAAGAAAAGGTCTTAAGCGAAAAACTTGAGTAAAAGTACTTAAGTAAAAAAGTTTAAGTCAAAGCAAGCTACCAGCATTAACAACTTGTGATTCTCAGCAAATGGGTCTGGTACCCTAACAAAGGGCTCGAACACCCTAGCAGCAGCTCGAAGGGCCCAGACCTACACCTTTTCCAGTTCGGAAAGGCCAGAAAGATCACCGAAGAACTCGATAGCCGAGGTTCGGTGAGATAGAAGATTGTTCCTGACAGCCTCCGGAACAGTTGATAGTGGGGCAGTCTCAAATCCCATCTCTAAAGACTAGAAGGTCCGAAAAGAGCTTCCAGCAGAAGTAGAAGGAACATCAAAATTCTTCGGCTCTTCAACTCTTCCCTGGGCCTTCTTAAAATCTCCAGGCCTCCGAACAAGAATCTAAACGTCATCGTCCTCAGGCTGCACGATCAGTGCATCAGCCTATCTCCGAACCTCTTCAGCAAAAGGTTCGGCAGTGTGCCGAGGAGATTGAAGGGAATTGTGGATGGGAGGAGTCCTCTGTTGAACTTCCTCATCCCGAATCTCGGGAGGAGGAGGAGGGGTCTTCTCTTTAGCAACCTCGGCTTGGTCCTCATCTAGCCAAGGTCTCTTCGCGGGGGGCTTAGTAGCTGGAAACTGCCCCGGATTTATTACAGCTCTTATTCTTCTCTGTTCAGCCATTTCCTCGGCTAAAGACTCGTCTGAAAAGGATGGTATGTTAGATGGCTCTCCTTTGCCCTCTTCTTCTTCGTCAGACTGCAACAGAAGAGACAGGGGGGCAAAGAGTAATGTCAGCATCATAAAAAAAAAAGAAAAAAGAAACTCCAAGCCGAAGCTTAGTACTTAAATTTTTTTTTGAAGAAATTCAAAGAAAAGGCTAAGTAGAAGGAGCAAGGCAACGAGAAAAAGGAAAAGAGAAGAAAGATTAAGACTCACCGAAGTCTTCAACAGTTGCTCGTCCTCGGCACTAAGCACATGAGGTCAGCAATAAAGGTTGTTTGCTCAGCGCGTTGGTCAGAAACTCCAAAGTTTCCTGCTCTAACAGCGGCAGCAGCAACAACTACTTGTTCTTTAGGGCCCAACAAACAAAATGGGTCCTTCTTCAAATACTAGGGTTTCTGCTTAGAATGTTCGGCAGGCTTGACTATCTCGAGTGTTGAAGGGCACAGTGAAGGGGCCCGATCTGAGGGATTAGTTATGGCTGGGGCATTCCTCGTCACACGCGTAGTAGCGTTTATGCCGAGTTTGTTATAGTCAAGGCCGCAGTTCCCTTCGTGCAGCACTGAAAAACCAAAAGTAAAGGGTTATTCTGTGTGAAAGAGCACAACCAATAAAAACAGAAAGAAAAGTGAAGGAAAATCAAAGGCCTTCGGCCCCAACCGGACCCCTTACCATCCTAGTACTTTCGGCTGAGGCCGATAGCAGTAACATCTTCTCTTTGAAGATGTAGTGATAGCATGGCAGCCAAGTCTCCGGCACGTGGGCCATTTGGCCAGTGCCCCCCGGATTTCTCTTTTGCCAAAGAGGGTAGCAGCTCAATTTCTTCTGCTGAGAACTCATCCGGTCCAATGGCGCTCATCCGAGGATCTGGCATACTCAGATACCTAGGCCCTCCAAAATAATTCGGGTGATCCTCCTCAGTAGGAGCCCGAATCCAAATCCACTGGCCTCGCCAGTCCTTATCAGATGTATCGTTCGGCCAGGTGGTCAAATACCCCCTTTGGGTCTCAATTCTCCACCACCATGATGCTCGTCTGATTTCTGGTTCGGCATCAACTTATGCAATTTTCGGAATATGTGGATGCTCGGCTCAAATCCGTAGAACAGACACACCCAAAGGAATGTCATTACTCTTCGGATGCTAGCTGGAGTTAATTGGCACAACGAGATGTTGTACCCGTTCAGCACCTCCATAACGAATGCATGCAATGGAAACCGAAGCCCAAACTGCAACTTCTTGGTATACACTCCGATGTAACCAGGAGGGGGCCTATGAATCCTATCTTCGGTAGTGGGCATTCGGCACCAATATCCATCTTCCTCCATAATGCTGTAAAATACTTCAAGTTGCTCGGCAAAGCTATGGAGGGCACTTCCGTTGACCCACCAGTCATACGGAGCAGCATTCATCAACCTAGCATTCTTGGGTGGGTTATACCACTCAGTAGCCCCATATGGCAGCTGCCGAGGCCCATGCGTTGAACCACTGCTAGAAGTGCTTGCCTCTTCCCAACCTCGGCGAGGCACAGAGGCCAGAGGTATCACTGGAATGGGAGGCTCTCTCAAAGAGGCCCTGGTTTCCCTCCTAGGGTGAGAGGTTTGGCTGCTTAAAGGCGACATCGGCCCAAGTGGCCGATTACGCCGAGCACCCAATTGAGGAATTTCCTCCTCTTCTTCAGCAACCATTGGTCTTTTTCCTCGGTCTTGAGCCATTTTTATGCGAATAATCGAGAAATCGGGAAAAAGGGGAAAGCTTTGAAAAACAATGAAATCTGAACAAGTTTCGGAGAAAATTACCTTTATTAGATGCAGAATTTTTCGATCTATTTGTTCAGAGCAACGAATTTCAGTATAAGGTTCGGAATCGCAGAGAATAAGGGAAAGAAAGAAATCGGTTTGCAAGGGAGTTGGCGAAGTCTGGGAAGAGTGTTTGCGAGAAGTGATTAAAGAGAGTGGAGAGGGAGGTTTAAATAGGCTTTCCGGAATCAAGAATTCTTGGAGTCAGAACCGCCAAAAACCCCACTAATTCCACTTAAATTCAACCGTTAAACACTTCCCCAAGTTAACCACCCACTAAAACCTTCCATTTTCAATTCCCTAATTATTCTCCTTAAACGGCAGTTAAAACATCAATAACTGTCCAAATTCCAAATTCAAATTACAATCATTTGTTTCCCTCCATTTTGTAAGTCAAAACCCGACCCGTCATCCTTTCAAATTGGGTCTGGGGGGCCAAGTTGTTTAGGTCCAATTCAGTCATCCTAATTGGGCTGGTCCAAATAAATTAATTACAAAATCCCAAAACAAGGTTCAACTCTCCAAAACATGCTAAGTCAACCAAGCCCAGTCAGCATGGCAAGCCCATTTGACTTGCGGCCCACTCATCCATTGAGCAAGGTATAAAAGCCTTCAATTTCCCCTCTTACATTCATTCACAATCAGCCATAGGCCTTCCTCGGCACAACCCTCGAGGCTAATTTACGTGTGTTTGCCGTGCAGGAAATTCTCGGCCCAATCTCCACTTGGACCGAGTTCAGTCTTCTCCCACCGAAAAGGGCCTGCCGAAGGTCATATTGTTCTCATACTGAAACAATTAGTTTCATCCAACTTTTTCTTACATCCAGGTTGGCAACAGGGCTGCCCAACTCCTAACCTTGATAAAACTTATCAAAGGATAAATTTGTAATTGCATAGTAACACCTACCTTGCTCCCTTAACAACTAGTAAACGATATGGACAAAAAGTCTACACTTTGTTAACTGAGGGTAACAGTACTAACACTGCATTTTTTGTGTTTTTATGATTTTATAATACAAAAGTTCTTTTTATTTTCAAATTTTCCACTTGATAAGTTTATTCAGTGTTAAGAGTTAGGAATTTCCCTCCAATTTGCCTTTTTACACTTTCTCCTACTATTTTCATTTTTTTTTTACACATACCAACTTTTTACGCTCTCGTTTAGGGGTGAAAGTAATATGGTTTAAAACCGAAAACCGAACCGAATTAACAATTCGGTTTGGATTTTTTCGGTTTTCGATTTGGACCGGTTCCAAAAATCCAAAACTGAAATATTTCGGTTTGGATTCAGTTTGGGGCTTCAAAAAACCGAACATCGAAATTCCAACCGAATTATACAAGCCCAGGCCATTTCCCCTTCATATATAAACCTAAACCCTAATTTTCTTTCCCTCTTTTCCATTTCCTCTTTCCTTTCTTCTGAACTTTAGATCTCCGTATCTCCCTGCCTCCCTCACCAAGTCACCACCTCCCTAAATTCTCCCCCTTTTCTCACCATTCACCACCTTGCGCGAACACCACCACCTTACGACCTCCCTCACCACCTTGCGTGAACTATGAGTTGCGAATTCTGAGTTGCGAGTTCAGATCTTGCGAATTTTGGGTTGCGAGTTTAGATTTTACGAGTTGCGGCTCCCTCACCACCTTGCGCGAACACCTCCCTCACCACCTTGCGGCTCCCTTGTGCGTGCTCCCTCACCAACACCTCCGTCACTTTCACTCAAAGGTAACAGATCTACTCCGTTGTTATTTTTGAATTAATTCCATTGATGTTGGTTGTTTATTTTCTGGTTTTTTCCCCAATTGTGTTGGTTGTTATGTTTGAAATCTTCAAATTAATTCCATTGATTGTTGCCCTTACTTAGTCACTTGTTTTTTAGATTATACATCATACATTAATTTTATTGTTTTAGTTTGGTTGTTCTATATTTTAAGCTTGGAACTTTAAGTTAGATTATATGTTTATATATTGTTCTGAATTTTGAGTTTGTTGTATTATATGTTGTTCTAAGGTGTTTATATGCTGTTCTGAATCTTAAGTTTGTTGTATTATATATATTTAAGCTCTTTTACTTCTCTATATATGGCTATGCATGGTAAATCTTTCAATTATTAATTGCCTTATTGTATGTACTATGCAGTATGAACTCTGAAGGTTTGAAGAGTTGAAGATGCGGAAGCTGCTGCCATCATGTTGAATCTGTTGCTATGTTGAAGCAGCCATGTTAAATTTATTAGTTGAATTTTAAATGAGGACTTTTATTACATTTTTAAGACTTTTGTTATGTGAAATTTTATTCTAATGGCTGGCTATTTATTTATTTATTTTATTATGCTATCTCCTAATTTTGGAAAATATTAGGCTATTTTAAAGGCCAAAATTATAGGTCCAATAACAGGCCCAATTTTTTAGGCCCAAAACAACAGCCCAACAAAATTCTGTTTGGATTGGATTCGTTTCCGAAAACCGAATTATTTCGGTTCGGATTGGATTGGATTCAATCTAATTTTGGTTTGGATTCGGTTCCAAAAATCCGAAACCAGAATAATTCGGTTTGGATTCTATTTGGCCAATAATCCAAATCGAAATCCGAACTTTCTCCCTTACTCTCGTTTGCCTTAATTTTTTGTGCAAACTGTAGATGTTATGAACATTATGAAAAATAGGTAGTATGTTACTTGTATATGTTATGTTTTCTTCACTTTTGATACAAAATAACAAAGGAACAACAAAATTGCAATTATATCCTCCAACTTCAAGTTGCAAGCTTGCTAGAATGTTGGAGTTTTGTTAAATTTGTGTGTAAATTGAGGGAGAAAAAACAATCAAGATAGAAATTAAGGGTTTTAATCTAATCTAAACACAAGGTTAAGCAAAGATTAAGAGAGAAGTCACAAAGATTATAAGTAGAGAAAGAAAATCTCAATCAAATTCAAAATATGGCAAAAGATTCAAGTTTACATCCAACATAGCCCTATCCATATGGTAGCTTACATAACCCTAAAGTTCATAAATAATAGTCTTTGGATTTCATGTGAAGATTAAAAGATTAAAAAAAAAGATTGGAGCTTAAATTCGTCCATCAAACAGGAGGCATTGGAGTGGGCGCTCTAGCAATTGGAGCAGTTACTCCGGCAGGCATTTCGCTCGACTGCTACAGTTAAGCGCAGATGCGTGGAAAGAAGGGGGTGTGAACACGCATTTAGGCAGTGGCGATGCATGTACAAGGAAGTGAGGTCAAGTGACCCCACTTGAATATAAATTTTTTTTTTCTTATAAAACACAGGGTTTTTTTTTTTTTTTTTTTTTTTTTTTTTTTTTTTTGTGTGTGTGTGTGTGTTATAAAATTTAGATTTTTTCCATAAAATTATCCACTTGACCCCATTAAAATTTATAAAATGTATTTTAAACTCGTTAAATATTTTTCCTGGATTCGCCACTGCATATAGGTAGAAGCGACCAACTTAAATTTTAATGATTATAACTTCATTGTTTCTCGCTCACGCTCAATTTGGACACATTTTCTATCTATGTAATGCTCATGGACTCTAGTTTAATACTTAACTTGAATCACTTCAAAATTCCTTGTATTGAACATGTTGGTGTTTGAAGTTGAACAGTTTATTTTGATCAAATAGACAAATACTAGCCTTTCTTTATTTTACCCGTGTAACTGTATTTCTATGTTTCTATCTCCAACTATGTCGTCATTATTCACTAGAGCCACGTCATAAAATAGGATACTCATCTAAAGAGTTGTTTAATTGGAGCCCAAAAAATAACACCAATCAAGTCATATCAATATTTTCCATAGGTTTTGAGGATGCTCCGGCATCAACTTTAATGTTATGTGTAGCAATACTTTTCAATCACCTTAAAAAATAAGCTTCTATTTAAGGTACTAAACATAATTATAATTTTTTGACAAACACCTTACATAAAATGTAGGAAATTTTGGAAACAACTACCAATTTAAGTCCCCATTTTGAAAACAACTACCTTTTAATTTTTTTTTTTAAAACAACTACCACAAAAATATTAAAAGTTAGAGTAGCACTACCACATGTGAAATTCTGGCAAGAATCTCCGGCAACTGGTGATTAGGGGATTTTGCTCCCACCAATCACCATCTGACAAGTGGACCAATCAGGTTCCGCCATGTGTCCGTCACATGGGCCAATAGGAGCCTGCCACGTGTCAAGCAATGATCCGTCCACCATGGACCAATTACGACACGACACGTGTCCTTCCCATGACACTTGGGATAACCGGTCACCTAGGCCCAACTTCCGAGGGAAGCCCAATCAGCCCAAGGTTAACCTAAACCTAGATTGGCACGTTTCCCGAGGTTATAAATACCTCCCTTAATCCTCATTAAGGGGGATTACATGCAGATCACGCTAAAAAAGCAGATTACACACATTAAACACTCTCACCTAGAGAGACCCAATCACTTTAATTTCCGCATTAATTACTCCTTAATCAAGTACTAACTTGACCGTCGGAGGCGGATCTCCAACCATCCGGAGCATCCGTTTGTTTTGCAGGTACAGGCGTCCGGTTCCAGTCTTGGAATTGTAACTCTCCCGCAGGACATCAGAAAACCCCGAAACATTTGGCGCCGTCTGTGGGGAGAGTACTTCTGAGATGGCATCCACGTCTGTACCGACTCCTGAAGAGAGACGTCCCCTGGACGACCCTCTAGTTCAGTCGGACCACGATACTGAGAATGAATTTGAAGTTGAAGCTCACACAGCTTTAGACGGGACCCTAAGGGCCCGACGTACCCATCATACCGAAAGGAGGGAACGGGAACATCTTCAAACTGGAAGTGAGCCAGCAGGCGCACCGCCTGTTCGGCAGCAGCCGACTGATGGATCTGCTCCCATCACAAGGAGTGAACTCATGACCTTCATGAGGGACTTCAAGGGAGAAATTCAAGAGTTGATCAACAAGAAGCCGCCTGCTCTGGACAAGGAGCAGTCGGCTAAGAAACCCTCCACTTCACAAAAGAGGAAGCCAGTTCAAAGGCGAGAGGCGACTCCTCATCCTAAATCTAGGAAGCGGGAGCCGACTGCCCTTGACTTCACAAAATACCGTTTTCCTACTCCAGGAAATAGGAAACCTGTTCGTCATATTCAGGCGGACGGGTCGAGGAAAACATACACAGACGCTCGGCTACTGCTAGAGCAGAAGAAGAGCGACCGATTGTCAGAGTCGGCCTCTACTTCAAACTTCCAAGACAGTCTGCGAAATACCTCGATGAGGCATACTCAGTCGTATCATGAGAGTCAGTCAGGCGGCACATCCCGTCAGTCCGGCTTTCATAGCGACCAGGCGGTACCAAACTTACCGTTTGTACCGCAACAACAATATTTTTTACAGCCACCTCCGTTTGGTGGACATGCAGCAAAAAATGTCCAACCTATGGACTGGCAGCTACGGTTGCTTAGACTTGGTGAACAGCCGTCGGCCTTCTCCAAGGAAATTACTGAAGCCGCTCAGCCGACCAAAGTGAAAAATGTATTAGTAGGCGCCTATGACGGCACTACTAACCCAGAAGACCATCTGATGGCATTCACCAACCTGATGTACCTTCAAGGGTTGGATGATCCCACTTGGTGCAAGTGTTTCCCAGCGACTCTCAAAGGAATCGCACAACAATGGTTCGGCAACCTGCCGACTGGTTGTGTAAATAACTTCAGGACGCTTGCTTACTTATTCACCTCCAACTTCGCCATGAACATCCCTGCGAAGAAGACGACCCTTGATTTAGGAACAATTCAGCAGGGCGAGAAGGAGAGGCTTCGTTCTTACATCAGGCTGTTTAACCTGATGAGAATACAGATTCAAGGGTTACCGGATGAAGTAGCCTATACTGAATTTTTCTGAGGTCTCAAAGACGGGTCGACCTTCAAATTTGATTTGGTCTGAAAGAGGGTGGCGACTCTTCAAGAGGCCTTGATTGAAGCGGAATCCTATATACAGGCGACTGATCTTTGTGGTACGGTAAAACAGTCTGACGGGAAAAGGTCTGACAAAGAGAAGGACGACAGAAGCAGTCGTCAAACAAAGACGAGAAGAGAAAAGAGGTCTGGGCGGCTGATTCCTCTAAACAGCCGGCCCAGAAGAAGAAAAAAGAATTCAAACCATACTCCCCAAAGTATGCGTTTAACAAGGATAGCCGATTTATCTTAAAGGAAATCAAGGGATGGATCTCAATTGAGAAGCCGGTCCCCATGAAGGGTTCTGCAAACAGTCGAAACCAAGAAAAATTATGTGATTATCATGAAGATGTTGGTCATCACACCAATGAATGCATCAGTCTCATGCGGTATCTGGACCACCTGGCTGAGCAAGGTGATCTTGATACTTATGTCAAGAAATCTACGGGGAACACTTCCTCAAAAAAGCAGTCGGCCAAAAAGAATCAAAAGGCCGACAGCTCCGATACAGATGATGCAGTCGTCTACACCATTGCAGGCGGCTTCTCAGGAGGCGACCCCACTATTAGGGGCAACAAAGACAATATCAGACGGTTAGATGTAAATTCCGTTCACCAAGAACGACCCTCCAAATATTCATTTTCTGAGATTGTCATCACTGAAGAAGATCTAGGAGGGGTAAGAGGGTCGCATGACGACCCTATCGTTATTGAATGTAAAGTGGCCAACCAGAGAGTTGGCCGAATCCTCATAGATACCGGAAGCTCTTCAGATCTCATCAGTAGCAAATGTCTGTCGAAACTAAAATATCAGACTGATTGCATACATCCGGCATCCCACCCTTTAGTAGGGTTTGGAGGAGGAGTCGTCCACCCAGTGGGACGAGTGGATTTACCCATCCGTCTGGGCGAAAAAGGGGAAGGACGACACATGGTAGTCCGGTTCCTGGTAGTAGAAGAACTCTCGGCCTACAACATGATTCTGGGACGACCAACCCTGAATAATTCCAAGGCTGTTATAATCCCATCTCTTATGTTGCTCAAGTTTGAGAGGGATAATGGAACAGTCGGGTCCCTAAGGGGAGATCAGAGGATGGGCCGAGAGTGTTATCTCTCGGATGTCAAGCCCACTTTTATGGCCACTGGGTCGAGTGGTGGAAAAATAGACCTTGACAATGTCAAGGAGAGTGCGCCTGTTCAAGAAGCAGGCGGCAAGAAGAGAAAGGCATCCTAGACAGAAGCTCAACCTGGATGGATCCAATCAGGGCATATCTGACAAACGGTACCCTGCCGGATGATCATCAACAGGCGGCAGCACTAAAAAAACGAGCAACCAGTTTTGAAATAATAAAGGGAGAACTTCACAAAAGGGGGTACCTTCAACCCTTCT